TCCTTCTTGAGCCAAGCAAGACATGTGGTTTGTGTTGAGTTAGGAACATAAGCCTTTGGTGGTTTTCTTTTCTGCTTTTCTTAGAGGCCATCACACCTCCCCACCATCCACCCCCCATATAAACACCTACACACACGCAAGAACACACAGTGAGCAAACCCATCAAATTTTAGTATGCATTAAAAAAATTAGATTGCATGGAGGGGAAAGAGGGAGATTCCGATTTAGTGAGTGTCCCACCAGGCTGTCCTGAGCGCTGGGGAGCAGACCACAGGAAACCAAACGACCTTCTCCCGGTGGTCATTCCCGTCATCACACAGCCCAGCCAGGGCAGACTGCAACCAGGAGTCATGGGGAAAGCTTCGCAGGGGAAGCAGAGGGGTTCATGTCCACAAGGAAACTGTACCTGTGTATGTACTGCATGTGCGTATCTATAAACGCAAGCACCTTTAGTGGTGAGCACGCTTGTATGCACACACACAGACCATCTCCACGGCTTTCAAGTCTTTCTCCTAAGCAGTCAAAGATTCCAAGAGTGTTGAATAAGAGGGAAAAAAATGCTTCCCTTTCACATCTGTTATAAGGCAGAGATTCTTAAAGCCAAGTGCTGTCAAAATCACCGAGGAAGCTTTTTAAACAGTACACACGACCTGCCCAGCCCAGAAGGAGTGAATGAGAACTCTCTCTTGTGATGGGCATTTGGGAACATCTGCTGAAGGGACGAGGGCTGTACAATCCACCTATTTGCCACGTGGTCCTTCTAGGACAGCATTCTCACTCTGAGCTTCAGGCCGTGTCCAGAGGCAAGTTTGGATGAGGGGTTTAAAAACACTGTCTCCGGATCCTTCAGAGTTTAGCAACATTTCTACTCAGGAAGAACTGCCCTCAGGATGAAGGCTGAACCTTGGGTTCCACTGGAAAGAGATCACCTCTCAGACTTTCCAGCAGGTTCTGGGGCAGAGCCTGGGCTTTCTGAGAGGATGGGAGCTTTCCTCTCAACTCAGGCCAGAGGGAAACTAATGAAAGCTACTAGAGGTGAGCATGGACTGTGGCCCAGGCCCAGGGCCTTTGCTGAAGTCTTACAGTCTATGTGCAGCTCTTGTCCCCACATTGGTCAGAGAAGGAGACTAAGGCTCTGTGTGATGAAGTCACTAGTCTATGCCACCAAAGCATAAGAGACAGAGCCAACCTGGGCCATCAGACTCCGAGGCCTGAGTCCTTAACTACTGGGTAAAACACCCCCCAAGCAACTGTGTCATGTGGCCAAAACAATGAAAGGGAAGTGAGCAGATGGAGAGAGAAGTACTTTTAATCTCCACATTAACGTCATAACCAAACAGGGGGTGTTTCTTAATATAATGGGTTGCTGCCAGTGGTAGAGAAAGAGGGGAAATAAAAAATATAACCAAGCCCACTGCCACTGAGTCAATTCTAACTCACAGCGCCCACAGAAGACAGAATGGAACTGCCCCACAGGGTTTCCAAGGCTGTCAATCTGTGTGGAAGCAAAGCCCAAATCAAACCCACTGTCATGGAATCGACTCTCACTAATAGTGCCCCTAGAGCAGAGAGAAGAACTGTCTCATAGAGTCTCCAGGACTGACAATCTGCACGGAATACACAGGCTGAAGACGTATAAATACGTATGTGCCTCTTTGTCTCATGGTACCAATCCGTCTTGCGTGGAGGAGGAGTGATAGCTTAGTCTGGGCGATGAAGGTGCTGAAGGCTGCCTCCTTCCTCGGTGCCAACTACAGTGAGGAGCAATCCCACCTCGAGGAAGCAGGGCACTCCTGCCCGACCCCTCCTCTTGGGAAGAGTCCCCCAGGGTCTCTGCCATGAGTGGGCAATGCATTCACGGGGCTGGGAGGGGAGGACCGTGTCTCCTCCAAGCTCCTCCACGCACGATGGTGGCTCCTGCTTGTAGAGAGCTCTGCTTTTCCAGCCCCATTCCCAGCCACCTCCACGTGAATTAGTGAGGGTGTCATTTTATAAATTACAGCTCCGTACTGAGGAAAGCAGAGTTTATCTTAATTCAGTCAGCTGTGTGGAACACTTCCCTAATTTTAGACCTCTGGCTCTGCAGATCCCTCTGGAACAAGGGAATGGCAGGTCTTTGGAGAGAGAACTCCCAGTGGGTCTCCTATAAGTCTCACTTTTGCCTCCAACAGCATCCCTGGTGGAGCTTGCTGGAGGGAGACCAGGACACTGAAGGGTAGCAATTCAGAATTGCATGCGAATCCTGCCAGCAGCACGTAAAAGCAACCTTGGGGAGCTCGGGGGTGAGAGGTTCTGGCATAGCAGAGGCTGACAGGGAATAGAAGTCTGGGAGGATGGTGTCAGAGCTGGTGAGAAACAGCAGGCAAGCCCGGTTCCAATGGGGGAGCTTGACAGACCGAACTATACCTGGGCCAAGCAGGCCCAGCTGCAATTACACAGTCTTGATTGCTCCTGCTGGGAAAGCCCCAGAGAAATCCCTGTGGCAGGGCTGGGACAGATGACCGGAGGGCTGGTGCTGACGCAGCTCCCAGGGGGAATGAAGAGCACCTGCAGGACCGCCACTGTCCAAAGGAAAAACAAGCAGGCCAGGAGGCAGGAAGACGCATGGCAGCGAGACTCCCCATGCCCCCTCCCTTCCCTGCCGTCCCCACTCTCTTGGACTTGGCTGCCAGGACCCATGTATTCTCCTTTATTGACCTGAAAGCATCTCAGCCTCTGAGTGGTGGGCTCTGGCTACCTTCCCACCACCCAGTGTTCTATTCGAACACTTTGCTTCTTCCTGCGCTCAGCAATGGAAACCAGGCAACCTCAGGAATGCAGCTGACAACAAAGGCCTCAGGGGGTGCTCTGGGGAGGCAGGGAGTCCCTCTGTCCCCAAGATCCCTCTGATTACCACAGCAGCTCACCTCTAGAAGATACCAGAGTTAGGTGATTGAGACTGGTGGTCCCAGATGACGAGAAATTCGAGGTCACTGGCCTGCGAAGAAGCCTGGGGACCCCCAGGGGATTCGAATGTGTGGCCAAGGTTCAGAACACAGATGAAGACACGTACAAGCATGAGGAACGGTTTAGCCTACCCCTGAGTCCTGCAACCCTTCTGGAATTGCTATTTCCTTTTAGATGAAGAATGTCTGTTCAGTTGTGGAATCCCACCTGAGGCCCAGCCAACCCCTTGGAGAAGCACCACAGACTTGCAAAGTGACATCGACCGTTGCCTATAGGAGACAGCCCCAGAAGACACTCTTGGCAGCATCAGAAAGTACCAGTCTCTCCCTGAGTGCCCTGTGATGCCTGCTAGAACGAGATGACGATTGCCAAACACGCCTGTGGCCTGTGTGACTCGGGTGGCCAGCGACCACGCCTTGAACCATGACTGCGATCCGTTCTTTCTGACACCCACTACACTGGCTGTCTGAGAGACCAAGGGTCCTACTTCCAAGGAGCTAGGACTCCCAAAAGACTGGAGGAAGGAAGCTCCTACTTGTCAGTTAAACAAAAGAGCCATCCACAGCCCCTTCCCAGTGTGTACTTTTGCTGTCATCCAACAGCCCATTACCATGTCACAGCACAGCACACCCTTCCACAGGTCACTTTGTTTAAAATGACATGGATAATGCACATGTCAGCAGGCTGACAGTCCTGGCCGTCCTTCAGAGATAAAAACCTCAAGGCGAGAGCCTGTTCTTATCTGGGGGACATGCACTGGTCTATCATCTAAGTCAGGCAGAACCTGATTTCTCCAGAGAGCACTTTTTTCATTTCCTGATTTTAAGGAAATCAAATAAGCACCATTTGTCTTCATCTGAATATGCTTGACCTGCTCAAATGATGATGTCTCGCATTTTATAACAGGCTACATATGCTGAATTCAAATTAACGACAGTACAGATTGAGAGCCTTTACATCTCTCTGTGAGGCTGGCAGCAGAGAACGGGGAGGCGGTAAGAATTCTGGGCTTGGTGGAAAGAGCCCACGAAACACTAACTGCAGGACTCCCAGTAAAGCCTGCAGGCACGTGGGAGGTGACCAAGAACAGTGTTCAGGACAGCCAGCGAGGCAGGGCAGAGGTGGAAACATGGAAGTGGGACTATTCCATCCTGGGGGCACCACGTTATACAGATACCATCCTATTCAGATAACTCTTTGCAAAATGTACAAAGCTGTAGCAAACATGGAAAGAAATGTGGTTGGGGGATTGGGACAGCCGGGAAGACCAAAGAGAGAGGCAATGCTTTTGCTTCAGGCAACAGAAATCTCAATTTACCAGCTTGTGATCCAGTCTTCTGGTGGCCCAACAATGAGCTCCTGCTCTTGGTCTGTGGTGAACTGCACACACAGAGGCTGTACCTGCTGGAAGAACTGCCCTCCCACCTGGCCATGCACCTGAGCGACAAAGAGCAGTTCCCATCTGGTCTCCCTGCTCACCCCCCACTCCAAGTTGAGGGTCCTAGAAACATACATGAGATAGGGCTTAAACGTTTCTACAAGAAGTCAGTATGTTCAGATAAGCAGGAGAAAGACTAAAGGTCATCAATATGAATGCAGAAATGACATAATACATACATACTGGTAAGTTACATGCTCGTATCATGGGTTAAAAACAAAAACAGATGGCTATTAAAAGAAATAATTCCTTCTCTTAAAACATTTTTGATCAATGTCGTGAAACAAAATGCGTATGAATTGTGGAATGGAAAACTGATTTGCTCTGTAAACATTCACCCAAATCACAATAAAACGTTAAAAACATATCTGCTTTTGAGTTAATGAGTCATCTTTTGTAAAGTAAAAGCTCAGTGCCACATATAAGCAATACTCAAGGGATTGTTTAAAAAAAGTGGACCTCACAAAATAAACATGCTCTATCTGATCACAGGAAATCTCATTGTGTGAGAAAGGCCCATGTCTACAGAAGAGAAAAGGTGCTGTCCACACAAGGCTGTGTGTAGGGTGCCATGGTGTTCACGGGGTGCCATGTGTGGTGTCCACGATAGCCTTACCTTCTCTTCCTGGTCACTGTCACTGTCACACTGAAAATGAAGATAAGAAAATAAGCGTTAGTGCAAGGATTGGGCATATTTTTGCTTTTGATACAAAAAATTTTAAAAACAACAACAAATAAAATGCAAGACAAGTAAAGACAGCAGCAGATACTGACTGGGCTGGAAAGATTTTCATTAGTTCTTGTGTTGGTAAACAGAAATGATAGTGAAACACCCATACGTTGTCTTCCGATTTAATCGGATGCCTGTGCTTTGTGTCAGCCAGCAAGGCTTTCAATAACACAAATGATCCCCCATCACTGCAGAGGGGAGGCCCATCTAGGCACCAACCCTACCACAGGACTGTCACCACAGTCAAGAGTCAAGATCATTCAATGTGATTCAGAGCAAAATCAATGTCTTAACTGAGATGTTCCACCTTCAAGTAATGTGAACAGCTGTATCCTTAGTGTTTTCCTAAAGGAAAAGAGGTTAGCCCCCGGGCATTACATGCTCGCATTTGGACTTTGAAGCAAACAGATCATAGTGGGTGAGGTTCAACCCTTGTAATGGCTGTCTTTCCCAGGGTTTAGGTGCTCAGACAAAAGAAGAAACATCCCCTATGGAACGTATGCCCAGGGCAAGAGGTTATCAGAGCAACGATATGGGAGAAAACAGTATGCTTTAGGGCAGCAAACTCACACCACATCTAACAGAGCCCGAATTCCAACTGCTGACCTGGGTTTGGGATAACCACAAAAGGATCATTCACTGGAAACTTTGGTTTCCTCATTAGAAGTAGAGAAAAAATAAAGAACACAGAAATTAAAAAAAAAATAAAATCATGAGTGTTTTGTTTTCAGTTTTGAATTAAACATGGATGTTGTCAGGATCTGTTTGTGTTAGAGAATGCTCAGCAGGAACAGATAACCATTTGTTCACTCAGCGACCCTAAACAAGCAGTGCGAAGCCAGACGGGTATTCAACCAAAACATAGTACTGTCCCCAAAGTCATTTTCAGTTGAGCAGATAAAGCCGGAGCATACACACTGTGCAGGGGTGTGGCGTGATCAGAGCCGTATTCTAGGAAGATGAGTCTTCCATGGAGTGGAGGACAGAGGGTGACCTGTGGGGAAGGGGACAGGTCACGGGGAGACCAGCTGGGCAAGCATGACACTGGCTAACTCAGGATGGCGCCGTGGTCTGGGAAAGGGAGGCACAGATAGCACAGCAATTCTGAAGCTAAGACCAACAGGACTTGAAAAAACGTGGCTATGGGAAACAAGTAAGAGGGATGGGTCTAGGATGTTGCCAGGTTTTTCGGTGTGGCCACCTGGGCACGAGAGCTGATGTGGCTATGAACAGCATCAGGAAATGAATTTGCTTATATGCAGCCACCGCTTGCTAGATACAGCCATTCACAACCCCCTTCTCCCTAGTCAGCACCTTGTCCTGACACTATGGGGTTGACAGAGCCAGATAATCTCTTTCCCAACTTCCCTTCAGCCAAGGGTGGCTCGTTTTTGGCCCAAAAAACTTGAGGAAATGTCTGGAAAAAATTTTGTCTCCTTGGTAAAAGGGGGAAAGTAGGAACCCCTTACTTCTTGTCTTTGAACCCAATTGTGTGAAGACGTGATGTCCAGATCTCAGGCAGCCATGCTGCATAGATGAGGCAAAATGTCCAAGGATAAAAACAACATAGTAGGGCCACGGAAGGAAAAAGTCTACATAACCTAGTCACTGAACCAACATGAGAACAGCCTGTATCTAGAATTTTTTGTTCAGAAAAAAATTAATGACCTTACCACTGAAGCTACTGCTAGAGTGCTTTCTATGGAAAGTAACAAAACCCCATCTAAATGGATATCCTACACAATTTGGGGATCACGTCTTCCTTCTGTAATAAGCACTCTGCATCTTAAGCATTATGGAACTTGGCATTACAATGTTTTCTACTTCTCCTCCTGATCCCCAACGCCACAGGGTTCCCGGGCGTCAGTGACAACGATCTTACCAGGTACAACTGCATCATTTTCAACCAAGCCTCCAACCTCAGAGTGTCTACATTTACGTATTTCCCCCTGATGAGTGATTTCCCTGTTACAATAAGTCAAACACTTAAGAAGGAAAATGGGTAAAGTGAAGACTTTGAAGGTCCAGAAGAGCAGGAGGCATAAGGAAGCCTCATGTTCCCCCGACGGGGTGATGTCTCCACAGCCTTTCATCAGCCCTCCTTGAGGCTCCTGAGTTGTGGGCGCATTTTCAAGAGTGACAAAGCAGCATTCATGAGGGGTGTGGAGTAGAGAAGGGGACCGTGCCAGGCAGGCTCCTTTCCCCAGATGTTCCCAGCTCTGCCTGCGAGGTAATCAACGACACCGAAGGCCGTGGTACAGCATTTGCCCGCATCCCAGAGGATGTGGTGTGCAGGGGTGACAGGCAGCGAGGAAGCTGGGAAAAGACCACCCCCCTCCAGCCCGAACAGCAGTATGTCCCTGGGAATGGCTATTTCCATCAAAGTGTTAAGCTCCCTGCTTTCCAACAGTCCAGTTCTAATTTCAAGGTCCACTTAATTCTGCATCAAGTAATTACTGATATACCCAGAAGCACCTTGTCTCCAGAGTTAAGCATATGGTGAAGCACTGAGACCTACTGGTATCCATTATGGAGGCAGCACGGATGCCAAGCCGATTAAAAATGCTCAGCCTCCCCACACAACATGCGGGTGAGTGACAGCTCCGCGACAAGGCCAGCCGCCCAGTCTGCCAAAACAGTCCCGGCTGCACTGGGGCCCACATGGTGCGTGAGAAAACAGTTCCATTTCTGGTATTAAATTCCCACACTGACCCGAGGACTTTGCCGTGAGCTCAGCAGGAGCGCACCATCCAATTTACAGCTCCGCTCCGTGGAGCCTCTAGTGCCAGCCCCTGGCAGAGACGAATGATGGTCAGCCCTTCCAACTCATAAATTATGCAAAGGCAATAAACGCACTCTGCACACAGCGCCGAACGTTTGCCTAGCCTGGCCCCCAACACACTCCGTAAAAAGCCAGAAGCGCGACACATACAAGAGGTCTATTCCACTCATAAAGGGGGTTTGTTGACAACCCAGACGGCAAGAGAGCCGCAGTGCTAAGGAGTCTCTCTGCTTGGCTGGCAGTGGTTTATGGGCCTGCTTCATGAAAAAGGGAGGCTGTGTTACAGAGTCGGAGGGGGGGAGAATTCACAGCCTCAAAAGCCCGCATTTCACACACTGGACGGCTTTCACACCCCACGTTCAACTCGTTGTGGAATTTTGGCCAAATGATTCTTGGTCTTCAAAGGTTGAAAGAAGAAGTGCCTGTCCCCTGGTCCCCAGGTACCCACTTCAATTTATGAGAGTTCACACTGAACCACCTCCTGGTGCAGGTTGACATTCTGCGGGAGGCTGGGAAACGGAAAAGGCATGTCCAGCTCAGGAGCGGGGTCCCAGCTGATTCGACCACTTTAAGCATTTTGACATCGGGGTCCCGCTTTGCTTTATTAGGAAACAGATGGCACACTAACTACCAGCTTGAGGTGACAGTACTCACCACGCAAGGTTGCCAAGCCCTGTGTGAGATGCTGAAAATGTTTCCCTCCATTTTAAACACAAAAAATGAGGGGGATCATCCAGCCCTTGCACCACAGATGGGGTGACCTCTGGGTACCAAGCTTCTCAACAAAGATACAGCCAAAGCCCACCACGGGCAAGAGACAGGGCCCGAGCCCACTGTGGACAAGACAGGGCCCAAGCCCACCACGGGCAAGAGACAGGAAGAGGAGGTATGAAATCCAACCTATGTGTGTGAAATGCAAAATTTGAAGGGGACTGTTCCTAACTTAAGCTCCAGACAGCCATCCCAACACAACTACGGCTCAACCTAACTTCCCCTTCTCTTAGGCATCTTCCATCCTCTCACCCAGGCAAGTCCCATCCCTTCAATTCTTCAACCAACCAACCCACCCACCCAGCATTTTTCCTTTTTTAAAATGAATACATGTATATTGAACACATTTCAAAAACTCATCAACAATCAGGTAAACGTTGGTAACACATTTATATAATTCTTTCCAGTCTTTTCATAAGAAAACATATGCAACCCTCCCCACCTTCATACACATTTGAAAATAAACATGAATTCCTACTATTTTGCTACTTTTTTTTTTTTTTTAAATCAAATATTTTAATTTAATTGGTGAACTTTGTCTTGTGACATCACTTCATAAAATGGCTGGACTGCAATCCAGGATAGGGATTGGAATATCATCTAATAAAAAAATTCCCTCGTGCTGGGTATTTAGAATACTTCCCGTGGAATATCCTGGCATTTTTCCCGCTGTACACATTCACCAATGTTGTGCGTTCCCAGTATCTTGAAATAGTCCATCCCTTTTTGAATATTCTTTAATGTCACCATCTCCCCCAGGTCACATCTGCAGATCTATTGATTCTGCGTGATTTCTAGGGGAGTCTTTAACTATTCCCTCAGTTCCAGTTACCATTTATGTGCTGAGCCCAGAAAACGTCTGTGCTCACCATCTGCCAGCAATGTGACTTTGGGAAAGTTATTTAACTGCTCTGTCCCTCAGTTTACTCATCTGTAGAATGTGGCGAATAATAGCCTTTACATCATGAGAAAGTGAGAATAAAATGAGTTAGTACCTGCAAACAAGACTTGGTGCTCAGTATGCATAGAAGTTAAATGTCAGCTATGATTGACAAGCCGTAGTATTTTTAATCACCTCATATGGATGTGAGAGCTGGACAATGAATAAGGTAGACCAAAGAAGAGTTGATGCTTTTGAGTTGTGGTGCTGGTGAAGAATGCTGAAAGTACCATGGACTGCTAAAAGAACTAACAAATCTGTCCTGGAAGAAGTGCAGCTGGAATGCTTCTTGATAGCAAGAACGGCCAGACTTCGTCTGATCTACTTTGCTCATGTTGTTAGAAGGGACCATTCCCTGGAGAGGGATATCATTCTTGGAAAAGTGGAAGGTCAGTAGAAAAGGGGAAGGCCCTCAATGAGATG